ACAACCCAAAAGAAGGGAAAATCAAGAAATCAATCAAGATGCTAGGGTTTCAAGGTTTCTCGAGAAGAAGTGGAATTCATCTTTTTCCTCTTTACCTTAAAACCCTGTGATGTTTTTTATTTTATTCTTATCTTCTCCATGATGTGTAATTATTTATTTAGTTAGAATGATTGGACGTGACCTAGTTTTAAACCTTAATGCTAATTAAAAAGTTTCAAATCTCCAATTGATGTGAATTATTTTTTTCTTCTATTCTTAATGAACAATTTAAAAGCATGATAATTAGATTGACTAGCACACACATTGGTTGAGCATAGAATGAGTAAAGAATTAATTTTATTTACATTACTTATGAAATTTATATGAATTATCAAATGATTTCAATACTTGACGCGAGTTTGGCAAAGTTATTTAATACATTTATATTTTTATTTGCTTGCTAGCTTGCTCGCTTGTGTTTAGTAGATAGACTTGCTCTGGATCAACAAGATTTTGAGTTTGGATGTATTTGATAAAAGCATTTTATGCACTTATTCGAGCTTTTATTCTTATTGATTTATATATAAATCGAGCAAATATATACTTAATTTGTGTACATCATGTTAATTGTACAAAAATCTCAACTTGGATATAATTTATGTGAAAAGAGGTTATTTAGAGTTTAATTGGAGTTGATTTGAAGCAATTGTAGATTAACCAAATTTCAAGAGAACAATTGGAAATATTAATGGAACATTAGGTAAAAATTCATAGGTTTCGTGAGTTAACTTCGACAATTGAAAAGTTTGAGACTCAGTTACAAACTTTAGAAACTTGCATTGGGTCAACTATAATGATTTTAGAATGAAGGGAACTAAATCGTAAATATTATAAGATGAAGGACTATATTTGAAAGAGAAAAAAAGTTCAATCCAAAAAATAATTGTTTCTTATTTCTTCTCAAACTCTTTTGTAGAAACCAATTTGAACATGAATTTTACCTCTAGTTCTATAAATGTGTGCCTTAGTCCAACAATTTAAGGACGCTTGTAGAGTTTCATTATACACATATATTCAATTCAAGGCTTGTGGGATTTCATTAGAACATATTCAAGTTAAATCCTGAGGGATTCATTGTGTGCATATTATACAAGCCCAAAAGGAAAGAAAATCAAGAAATCAATCAAGAAGCTAGGATTTCAAGATTTTACAAGAAGAAGGCGGAATCTTGGTACAAGATCTTTATTGTTTTCCCATTTTTCCTTAAAATCTGATGATGTACTTTGATTCATTCTTGTTTTATTCTTCTCCCATGATGTGACATTAATATTTTAGTTATAAAGAAGGATTGTAACCTAGTTTTAAACCTTAGTTTTAATTTGAATGTTTAAATTTTCAATTGATGTTGTGGATTGTTTTTGTTTATGTTCTTAATGCTTGGATTAATTGGCCATTGATTCATTGGTTTTGTGAGCTATACTTACATCAAGAGGTAGATTATTTGTTTAGACCACGTAGTAGTAGTTGGAAACTACATTCTCTATCTAATATGGTCGTTACATTGATTCTTAGAGAATTAATGCATTTTATAAAGGTATACCCAGATTCACATAAAGATATAAAATTGACTTAGTAAAATAAAATCAATTTGAACTCGAAAAATGTAAATTGAATATGTTAGAAAAATTAATTTGGGTAAACATATTCAATTGTATACAAATTGATGATTAAGTGTGTTGGAGTGCGACCTCTGATCTCGAATAATTATAGTATCCTTAGATAATCAAGGCCATCTTTAAGAGTTTAGATAGGACCACTTCTACAAGCTCGGCCACATGGCCATCGTAATCTAGAAGCATAATGATTACAACTCCTCAGACATACTATTAAGCCAGCCAGTTTACCAATTAACAAAGGACACCTAACAATTTTGATCTCAACACCTCCTTTTCCACCAATTAGTCACAAGGGCTCCGTATTCAATGTTAGCTCATCAGTTTCTAATGAGCAACAGAGCCGACACTATAATGATCTGATGACGGTCAACCATTACGGCCAATTAGAGATGATATCATTGGTACGCCTCCTAAGCTTAGCAATGTAGCTGATTTGATTGATAAGACTCATGTTGGCCAATAGAAAGCTCATCCTCACTATAAATAGAGATCAATGTTCTCACTTTGGAGGAGGGGAGACTTACTTCACAATTTCGAGCCAAACACACTATCCTTGACCATTTCTCCTACATGAGGAATTACTACATGCTTTTGTTTAGGAGGTGTCAATAAACATGCATTTTTAGCTTAAAAGTTGGCCAAAGAATCACCCTTACAGTTTTTTACGTCAACAAAGTGGATAGCTATTGTGAAATCATGAATCCTAACACTTAAACCATCATATAGAAAATAATGTTTTATTGTTTTAGTATATTTAAAAAAAAAATCACAACAAGATAGCTTTCATTCGAAATGAAGTTATGAATACTTTAACCACGATGAGATAGCAATTCTCATGGAATGATATTTTTTACTCTTAGATCTCCTTTATTACTTGTTGAAATCGTATACTAGTGGATATGAAATCGACAACAATTGCCATAGTCAAGCTAATGAATATAAACAAGAGCTTTTTTTGTTTAGTTAAAGGAGTGCGATACCTCCGAGATTTTATTAGTTTTCCTTTACTTGTGGTGGAGGAATACCATGGTTATATGTGGTAATAATGAAAGCAGTAAATGCGGAAGACTACCTTCCTTACAATAAAAGTAAATGCTAAAAAAAATGTAAAAGAGTAAAGAGGAAATACTATTTCCCTTACAATATGCAATCAAAGACAAAAGCAAGAATAAAATAAAATTACAATTCATATTCTAATGCTGGGTAGTCCATGTCTATCTACCTGTAGGAGTGCTCTAATATGTCGTGGTAGGTCAGCTTGTCCATATGTTTGATATCGTAGGTGATTCCAACCATTTGCTGCAAGAGCATCGACAACCTGGTTTTCTTCTCTGTAGTTGTGGGAAACTATGTTTTTATCGAATGAGATGAAGTATGCAATCTTTTCGAGTATGCCCTGAATAGCTAATGGTCCTCCACCTTTAATAATGTAGCGAATGTCTACACTAGAGTCTACCTCAGCCCAAATGTCTAAAAATCCAAGACTTCTAACCAATCGTATCAAGAACAACCCTAAACTCTACTTCTAGTATCTTGCACAATCAATATGATGTTGAGAACACCCTTATGCATTTTCCTGTGTGGTTCCTGATGATGCCTCCCCCGTTCGCAAAGCCATCATTCATGCATTCTTCAGTGTTGTCCTATAGGTTGTGATATGTTTGAGTTAATATAAATTAGGGATAATTACAGCAGAACCCCAACTTTTGAAACAATTAATAGACTTTTTTCAAACCTTTGATTTATTGTAGCTGTCATCCCTAACCTTTCCAAATGTTGCATCTGAGGCCTTTTTTGGACGGTTTTTATCCAAAATTCGTCAGTTGACCAGAAAAATGATTTTGACCATATTTTAAAATTTTTTAAAGGGGCGAAATGATAACTTTACATTAAAATCAAAATAAAAAAACAAAATAATGATATTTGTCTTCTTCCTTAACCCATCCCAAATCCACCCCATCCCTAAGAACACAGAGAAACTGAAAATGCAAAAATGGTGCTTCTTGAACTTTGGTTTAGGCGGTGAAAGCTGCAAAAATGGTTGGTGGGAGCAAATGAAGCAATGCGAAGATGGCTCTTGGATTGAAGCTAAATACGTGTCTTTATGTCCCAAGTACCAAAAACCCATCGTCCTATTAAAAAATTTCTGTAATTTCACTTCATTTCGGTTCAAGATCAAGCTTCCATGATAAAGATTTGGTTATTCTTTTTAATTTATATCCATATACAAAAAGGGGCTCATCAGATGAACCACCTGTTGAGGCCTGTGTGTTGTTTTCTAGTAGGAGATTGAAAATGAAAGAAAAAGAATAGGTATTCATCAATTTTTAATTATTAGGGTTTGAATTAGCGATATGACTAGTGTTTTGATGAGTATTTTGACCTCGAAATGGGTGGATAACGAAGAAGGTGACAATGATTCATTTGCGTAGATGGCTCTTGGATTGAAGCTAAATACGTGTCTTTATGTTCCAAGAACTAAAGAGGACGCGCCAATGGTGGCATCACTGTCACCTCCATCGCCGCAACCTTCAAGTAGGAGGTTCTCAAATGCAGTATCTTAAAGTTAACATTTTACCCCATTAAAAATTGTTAAAATATGGTCAAATTTATTTTTCTGATCAACTGATAGAATTTTGGATAAAAATTGTCCAAAAGGACCTCATATGCAACGTTTGGAAATGTTAGAGGTGACGACTGTAATAAATCAAAGGTTTCGTAAAAGTCTGCTGATGTTTCAAAGGTTTGGGACTTCTGCTGCAATTATACTAAATTTATTTGAACTCATTTGCACTTTTTAAAAAGTTTGGGAGTATGATTACAATTTATTCTTTAGCTTTTCTTTTCTTTTTATTGTTTTATTTAAGTAGTGGGTATATTTGTCATTTTATACGAGAAATTTGATGAAAATGATAATTTTTGCAATAAAAAGGTAAATGTAAGGGTAAAAGTTTCAAAAAAAATAAAAGGTGAAAACGTTTTGCACAACAATATTGAAAGGTAAGGACATTTTGTGCTAATTACTTCTTTTTTTTAACTGAGAAATTGGATGAAAAAGACCTTTCCGCAATGTGAGATGAAAGTAGGGGTGAAAATACCAAAACAATGAAAGGTTAGGACGTTTTGAATAATAATATTGAAAGAGAAGGATTTTTTTTGCCAATTATCCATTTCAAAATACATTATTTTTAGAAAATGAGGCTCAAACATGCTCAAAGTTTGTTTATTACTTTTACGTATCTTGCAAAATTGGAGAACGTGAAACTAGAGTAGCTAATGTTTTTAAAAAGCAATTCAAATTAATTAATCAATATTCAATGCTGTTCCTAACCACTTCATTTACGCACATTCAAATAAAGGACAGCCTCCTTTCAACACGTTACTTTTTCTCTCACATTGAATAAAATCTGTAAATCACATAACCTACTTTTTCACATCGAAGCCAAACAAAATCCGGCTGCTCCGCTCAGTTGTTCTTGGGAAAGCATTTCAAAACAGATTTTGTTATTTAGATTCCAAAACGGTAATCCTTCTCATCTTTGTATCGACTTTTTTATTATTATTTTCGTTGACTTTTATTTGTCGGAATAAAGCTTCACTTGATTGTATTATGCAAAAAATGTTAAAACCCATCTAAGTCCCCCAAATCCAACGGAGACATCTCACCACCTCTCGACTCTCACCGTCTCTACGCTCTTGTCTCTCTTGTATGCCTATACAACAATACAATATACTTGCCCTCAATTGTGTGTAACTTACGAATACAGTATACCAGCTTAGCTGCTGCTTTGTATCTATACGAATTTTGCAAAAATCAAACAAAGCAAAAAAGCCCTAGCTTCCTCTGATTGCACAGTGGACGCTGAGCTTTCAGCCTTGTGAGTTTGATATATCGATGCCGAGCCTCCGCCCTCCACCACTACTTGCCGCGGTGTGAGCCTCTTTTATTTTATTTATTATTTTTTAGTTCATTTTTTGATGCCATTTTTATTGGGAATGTTTATGATTTATTTATCTATGATTTATGTTTTATGACTATGAGCCTGCTGTTGAGGTTTACGATTTATGAAATTTTGCTTCGGTTGGGCAGGTTGTGTGTGTTGTATGATAACGACCTATATTAATGTGTTTTAACAATTTTTATTTCTTTGTTATTAAATTTCATTTTGTTCCTATTGCTTTTTGGTGACTGGCATTCACTTTGTATGGAAAGGATGTTATTGGCATTACAATTGGATTACATCCAAAACCATTGTTTTCGGATCTAGAGAAGGTTTAAATATTTTTTGTTGTGTGCAAAGACTATAAAATCTAGAAACTTCTTGATGTTATCCTTCTAAACTCTACAAATTGATACAAGTTCAGATCAACTCTATTTGCTATAATGATGATTCTTTTGGCTTTGATATTTTTCTTATCAGTATCATAGAATTCTGGTAATCAATGAAATCTATACATACATATCACGTCAATGCTAGATTTGGGTAATTTTCATCGAAAGCCTCACAGTATCTCTGACCAGGCTGACTTGATTCGTTGTTGAGCTTGCCTATTTCCTTGTGTTCTACCTTTAACTGGAACCATTGCTTTTATAGTGACTTTCCTACCCACAGTTCTAGTTTGTTATGGGTTTTGCTTTCTCTAGTTGTATTGATTTTATGCATGGCAATACTTTGCCTATTGGACACTTATTTTCTTTTTGAATATTTAGGCTGCATATGCAAATGGTTGTTATGGAACAAATTATGCACATCAGCAAGTACCTACATCAGTGCCCCAAAGTGCTGCTTATGGGACTTATCCTCAAACTTATTCAGCCCAGGTAACTTAAAACAATTCTCTGAATCATGGCTTGGAAATGGATAGTTCCTTTTGCTGGATATCATTATATACTCATAGATTTGAGTCTTTATAAAAGCATAAATCAACACCCCATTTGATATGTCTCAAGAAGTGAAGTTTCTTGATTTGCCATCATTTTATTTTGATAGTATAATCCGTTATAGGTGTGCATCAGCATATACACTAGTTTTGTTTGGCATTGGAGATTTTTGATTTAAAATTAGAAATGATTTACAAATTTACTTTGTTTTACATTTTCATAGATGGGGGAATTTGTGATTTGTGATAAATGATAATTTAGTGCATATACATATAAATTGAAGAATTTTTTATATTATTCAATTAATTGTTAATAAACAATCTCATTATTGCGATCGTTGGCTGTTGGTCAGCGGCCGCCCTAGCTCACCTATATCGTTGTATCCACCACCGTGTCTCAATTTCTATGAATTTGCTTCCAATCATTCCAAGATAGGCTTTGTAAGATTTATTTCTTGTCCATTGTTTTTATATTTTTTGGTGGTGAATGTGGTTTTGAATTTTGAATTTTCATGCATTTAGAGGCTAGTCATTTTGTAAATTGGAGAAGAGTGGAAAATGGCCAATTTATAAAGGTTAGGGATGATATGTGGCTGTTGAACTATATATGAGGGTTATTTTTTAAGACAGGGTTGTTAAAAATGTGACTTCTACTTGATTTTGTTATTCTTATATTATATGTCCTTTTGATATAACAGTCGAACTAAATTCTAGCATATGATTATTTTTGAATTATGATTTCCAGAATTTTTAAATTCCTTTTGATTTGTGTTTTGGTGTGTGGAAAGATCAAGCTAACTATGACATGTTTGGATAGTATTCCTTCTATTTCAATTTGATCTTTGTGCTTTGGCTTAACTTACATTTTAAAATTTAATCAATCCATAAGTGAATTGGAAAAATGCATGAATGAGGTTCATTGAGATGAGTGGACAGGTGAAATGGTAGGACACTATGGAATTTTGAATCTTTGATGCCTATGAAGTCTTGTCATTTTGTGAATTGGGAAGGAGGGGGAAGGGCCAATTTTGAAATGGTAGAATATTCATATTTGTATTATGATGACCTAAGGACAAGCATAGTTAATTAGAGAAGTTGGATCCTTTTCTTTCTGAATTGTGATGTATTAGGGAGTGGTGAGTGTGTTATTTATTTTGTATTGAGATGACCTACGGACAAACGTCAAATAATGGGTGAAATTGTATCCTGTTTCTTTGGAATTTGAAAATAAACTCTTGAACAAGCTTGTTTGATTGGACTTAAAACTAGATGGAAACTAGTTAATACTTGTGCAATATTTATGTTTGGGAACGCTGTTAAACAATAAATTGAATAGACTTCCTTAAATATTAGCCCCTGTGTCCTTGTTTCTTGGATCCGCCCTGGATTCTTGCAATTTCTGGATCTATATATGACATGAAGGATCCATTTGGCATGGTTTTTAAAATGTCAAAAGGAACTTTTTAGACACAAAAACTGCTTTTGGACTTATTTGACTAATTTTATGAAAGTGCTTTTGGTATTTAGAAGAACTTTTAGATGAAGTTGTCCAATATGACTTTTTATAAGATTACTTCTGGAATAAAAATGAATTTCTAAATAAAAATTAAGATAGCTTCTTCCAAACACTCTTCTGCAGGAAGTAAAGGTAGAAGCAAAAACTATGTCAAATGGCATTGAAGTTTGTTTATTAATTTTACTTCTCTTGCAAAATTGGAAAATGTAAAATTAGAGTAGCTAATGATTTTAAAAAGGGTTTTGATTGATGAGTGGAAATACAGCGAATGTTTGAGAATCATTATTGTATAAAAAATAATTTTGAAAAGTGAGTTTTAGGATTATGTGGTGTTAAAAACAAGGAAATAAATTTTAGTATACGTATAGAATATTTTATTTTGTGAATGTGTGATTGAAAATGATGCAATTTCTAAGATACATAAATTATAAGAAAAACTACACAAAATTTCCACGTTCAATTTGGTTGATTTACAATTTCTGTTATGTATCAAAATTATTTTAAATCATTTTCAAGTATAATAGATAAAAATGAAAGTGGGAAGAATTTGTGAATCTAATGGAAAGTGCACATTAAAAGTGATTTTACATTTTTTTTTAAAAGTTGAATATGATTTTTTTTAATGGTACTAAATATCATTATTATTATTTTTTTAAAATTTTATGCTCAATAATTTTCATAGGCTTGAAAAATTCAACCCAAGTTTTCTGTTCCCTTATTAGATTATTGTTTGTTAATCCAAATGACAGAAGGAGGGCGTGAAATGGCTCCTTCAACCAACAATCTTAGGAAACTTCTTGAAAATCGATTCAACGACGAAAGCTTTGAATGTTCTATGTTCAAGGACAACTCATTCCAAAAGTAAGCTCTCTCTCCTCTGCCCCCCCTCTCTCCTTCCTTTTGCCTTTTGTCTTGTTTTTGTTTATACCTTTGCATGCTAACGATTGTGACCATATGGTGATCATGTCAATGTTGCCGGTGATGATTTGATGCTATTATCTTGTAATGCTCAATGATGTTACATTGTGGTTCTTCAGTCAACTGTCAATATACGAGCAATAGCAATGCCTAAGCATTCACTCGCTCAATTCCTTCTTTTTCGAGACTGTTTGGACTACATGTTCGATCCCTATTACGACATTTACTTGATCCCTCCATATTCATTTTTGGCAACTTGAAACTTCTTATAAGGTATTGGATTTGTCAGGCATGGACTGCAGATTTTATAATTCAACACAAGTAGAGAATTTGGTTCTCTTAAAGTTCTTGGTAGTCTCTTCTATACCATAATCAATAGAGAGATTTGAGAACCTAGAATTTCTTTTTGTGGATAATAGTGAAAAATTTGAAATACAAGAGAACCTTTTCAATATGGTGAAGTTAAGACGCGTATTTTAGTGGTGGTGCACAATTCAGTAAATTCTAGCGTGGGCGAGCAGCTAAGGGTGAGATATTCCTAGAAAGTAGCCTACAAAGAATTTCTTTTGTTTCCATTTATGATAAAAATGATGATAAAATCTTGAGATACTCATCTAATCTCCGAAGACTGAAATGCAGATTTGCAGTATTTTTTGATCCATCAGAAAATAACTATCGCTATACTATCTTGAATTTCCTTAGTCAACTAGAATCACTCATCATATATTTCCGTTGGAGTTATGTTATAGATGATACCAGTCTCGATTTGACCAATTTACCCTTGAATTTGAAAATGTTGACTCTCAGTGACTTTAATTTTATTTTGAAACAAATGGAGATAATTGAAAAATTACCTGAGCTTTAGGTTCTCAAGTTACGGGACAGTACCATTGAGAAAAAAAGATGGGACACAAATGAAGGTAAATTAAAAAAACTTAAATTTTTTGATCTAGATGAAGTACAAATTGAACAATGGAATGCCTCGAACGATCATTTTCCTAAATTTGAAAGGTTAATGTTGCAAAGCTGCCAGTTTTTGGAGATCCCTTCTGATTTAGAGTATCATTTGTATCTACAAATTTATTGTTTGAATTAGAGTATTGTCTTTACACTCTGGATTACAAGAGTACCCTATAAACCAGAAAGAAAACTCGTTTGGAGTGTTAGATAATGACTACAACATCCTTTTTCTAATCATTTTGCATTTCTTTAATCTTCCAAGCAGAGTCTTCAATAGATTTTTTGCAACCATGTATCTCAATCTTTTGTAGAGACAGACAATACTCTAAATCTGAAGCGATCTTCAAAAGCTGGTAGCTTCGCAACACTAACCTTTCAAGTTTAGGAAAATGATTGTTCGAGGCATTCCACTGTTCAATTTGTACTTCATCCAGTTCCAAGAATTTAAGTGTTTTTTTTTTTTCTTTTTTTTCACCTTCATTTGTGTCCCATCTTTTTTTTGCAATGGTATTATCCCGTAACTAGTGAACCTCGAGCTTAAATAGTTTTCCAATTATCTCCATTTGCTTCAAGTAAAATTAAAGTCACCGAGAGTCAACAATCTCAAATTCAAGGGTAAATTGGTCAAATTGAGACTGAGGTCATCTATAGCACAACTCGACGAAAAGATATGTTGAGGGATTCCAGCTGACCAAGGAAATTTAAGATAGGATAGCAATAGTTGTTTTCTGATGGATAAGAAAATACTGCAAACCAGCATTTCAATCTTCGGAGATTTGATGAGTATCTCAAGATTTTCATAATAAATGGAAACAAAAAGAAATTCTTTGTAGGTTGCTTTCTCTTAGCTCTGTAGTGTACAACAAAATATTGAAGCTACTCCTTGTTCATGGGTTCCGTCAAGACCCAGCGAGTTGGAACATCATTTAAGTCTTTGGAGATCATTGAGCCAAAAGAAGAAAAATTTGGGACTCCTTCTCACTGCATTACTAGGTGGTCTTGGTCTATTAGTGTTCTGTCGAATTCAAAGGAAAAGGGTATTCGTCCGTCATATGTAAGCGCCGTGCAATTCAACACTGAATCTCCTCGGAAGATGAACCTGAAGAGGCCTATGGAAGCTTCGATAACTGATCCCTTTAAGACCGTCTGTGGGATAAAGCATTATCCCAAAGGGCCTCATGATTCAAGTTCGCTAAAAAAAGAAGGTCGTGCTCACATACGGGCCACAGGCAAGTCACATTACCTTTAGTAATATTAATTACTAATTTTCGTCACTATTAATATTTGTTCACACAATCCCATCATATTGTTTCACTTTTTGTTATGAACGTAAGAAACATCTTACATTTCTGAGGCAGTTATAACTCAAGTCTTTGGTTGAATAGGAGATTACATGCACTGCAATATCTGGTATGCAACACCTGGTAGTCTCGTGTCAATCATGTCATCATTCCAATCATGATGGAGAAGAAAGCCCATTGGATACTTGGTCACTGCGATGTGAAGGATAGATGCTTTGTACATTTATAACTTAAGTCGGCTGACTGTGAGAGAGAGAATCGTGTGCAACGTTGTAGAGGCTTTCGCTTATGTTCTCCCCTGTCTTATGGCGAAGATAAATGCATGGCAACACAAGACCATCAATGGCATTAAATGGCAAACCACTTGATCTGAAGATCGTGACTGACATACCACAAGATGATCACGGGTCGGTACTTTGTCTAATTTATTTCTGTGACGTTGGAATATTTATCTTATTGATTCATGGAAGTGAACTGGGATATCCTTTTCTTTCTTTTATTTCCCTCTAGGTGAGTAATTCTTAGTAACATACATATTAAGTTCTTAATTGGTATAGTGAGGTAATTAAATAAATATATTTTATACAAGATATGCATAACCATACATCTGGGATGATGAATGTGGTGCATTTGAGGGAAAAGTTTGATATTTTGCTGAAAATGATGAAACGTCATCCTGATACGAACCCGCGTAGCAACGTTGACGACGGAACCTACAACTACATTGAACCGAAGTCAAGAAAGGCAAGTAAACAAGGTTTTGGATTTGATCCAAAAAATATTGAATCAAGCAATCAACAATCAATTGATATGTGAACCTCTTGATTACAAAATTTAAGAATCTCACTTGAAATTTTTGAATGTCACAAGAATCACTTTTGATAAGTTCGGTAATTGTTCAATCAAGATTAAAGAAATTTGAAACAAATTAGCTGCATAAGTAATCTCTCAATAATCCATATGAAAAGTCTTGTTTTGCAATGAGAATAATGAACCTATTTGTACTAAATCCTAAAACAAAGTTTAAAACGGAATAAAACTCTAAAAACCTAGTTTAAAAAGGAAAATACATCCAAAAGATTACAAAATATCAAATAAATTAAAATTCTAACCAAACTAGGAAACTCACGGAATTTAGGAAATTCGGTTGCCGTTTACTTCTATGCGCCCGCATAGTTGATTTCCATGCGGTTGCATAGATGTCCCAAAATCTGCCCAACGGTTTTTTGCATCCATGTATGCGACCCACACACTCCTCGCCACTATCCTTCGCTTGCTTACTCCACCTCATCTTGTCTTCCGGCCAATCATGTGACAACTCTAAGTACGTTCAAACTTGCCCGTGATCTCTCCTTGNCCAAAGGATCATATCACATCCTGTCTGATGTGCTTATGATGTGGTCAGTGTATGTTGCATTTTATAAATACTAATGCAGTGCCTCTTGTCCATCTCTTTCAAGTAAAATGATCTATTTTGTTGTTATTAAGTAAGATGTTTGGAAAGTAAAATAAAAAAAAGATTGAATCAAATTCAACTTTGTTAGCAGATTCTCCTTCGACTGCTAAAATATATAAGCTGCAATAACAATTTATTCATCTAAGAGTTACATTTTTTTATTGGTTTCATAAATCAAGTTTTTGTACTTTTTTTCTTTTCTTCTATTTGGTTTTCTAAGATTTTTGTCTATGAATTGTTGCAGACATGATTCCGGGCTATATGTTAATAAGTTAAACGAGTTCATTATAAACCAAAAATTCATGAAATGGTGACAACTTTGATCCAAAAGCATCTAGATGTAACTTGGTCTGTCAACTATTCAAGCATGGCTGCTAGAAGATGATTGAAGCAAATAATACAGATTTCGACCTCATACTGCCAAGTGCCAAGTGTTAGGTGCAACAGGAAGATGAAGGGTGGTGTTATTGATATAACCTTACCTGGAAAGTTTGTTTGACGTTTATTTTAGTCTGGCATAGTTCGAGTAGAAGTTTTTGTATCATATCTCTTTGTATGAGAGAATTTTAGTATTTCTTTTGTCATATAATTTTGGAATGTTTCCTAGAAATGCAACATCATTTTTCAAAATTTCAGTGAAAATTATAATCAGGACGTTGATCCACAACATTTTTTGTGTTTTCTGGATTTTTCATGTCGCTATGAATGGTTCACGCATATTTGTTTTTACAACACGGGTGAAAAAGGTCTATATTATTTCAGGACGAAAACAGCCAAACTCAGTGCCTCGTCTATTGTTATCACGTAACATTTGCTATCCATATTTTGAATGATTATAAGAATAACAAAATCGAGAATTGACGTTACATGTTGGATCCCTTTTTATTTTTTCTTATTTCATGATTTCTTATAACTGACCAAGTTTATTAACGGGGACTAATTTTGATTCATCTTAATATATTATCTCATAAGAAATCTCATCTTCCGTCTGACACAGAACTATAAGATGTTTTTTGATAGATAGAATCACTAGAAGATGTACGGTTTGTTTCTCTATAATGGACGTGGCTATCATCCCCATTCTCATTTGAAATCCTATCTATTTTGGAAGTGTAATTGAATGTGGAACGTGGAATCAGCATAATTCATGCAATGTCAGTTACAATATTTAGAAGTCAGTATTTTTTAACATAATTTACATATATGTTAGTATATTTAGTTATATTTCATTTACCTAGTAAAATGAAAATCTTTATTTCTAATAGGCTATATACGAATTTTCCCCTCCTTTTAAAATAGAAAAAATTCGCATTTGCATATGAAATATAAAGTATTTCATACAATACCATACATATTTTAAAATTTAAAATATACTATACATTTCACATGATATGAACTACCATTTCAACTTTCCAAAATAATCTCATTGTAACTGAAAAGCATTTATGAGATGCCAATAAGGAAATCATTTATTTGCATGGTAATTGAAAACTAAAATTGGTTTTCCAGCTCTAGCAATTTGAGTATATGATTTCTTAATCACTCTTCAACACCATTTCATGATTTCACTCGCTAATATCAATTATCTATATGTGAAACCTCTCGACTAATTATCTGATATTATCCTACAATCTTAACTTGCGATACAAAATCATTTGGTCTTCTGTTACTGACCAGTAGCAGATACCATTATCTGGTTGACATGATATCGATCGAGATGCATATCGTTGTTAGTATGGACGATGTTAAAATAGATTACGATGTTGGAGGTAGCATGGCATCTGTTATGACTAAGATGCTGAAGGGGTAATCAAGGCGAAAGTTAGGAACAAATCGGACTTTTATTAAAATTACAGTTAATCAATTCACAGGGCTTTTGAGAAAGACTACATAAATCGACAAGCCCTAAAAATGGAATCAATTGCAAATACTAGATTATTTGTCTTAAATCTCACAAACCCACGAGCTAGCGTCACTCAAGATGTGGCTAACCTACTACTACGACCCTAAGCCTCATTATCAGCAACATATTATGGAAATAATCATTTCTTGAAATAATCACTTTTGCTTTCGCGGTATGGGTGTTGAAGGTGAGTAGTGAGTGAAATGATACTTGATTTTCTGGATTAATTGATTTGTAGTTCTTGATAGGGATGGCAATAGGAAGCGTATCGGACGGGTCGGCCATTCTCACCACCATCCCGTCCAGTATTTTTGTTATCTTACCCCATACCCATACCCAATTAAAGCGGAACGGGGCGAGTTCGGGGTGGGGTACTACCCCATTTATCTCCTCACTTATTTTTTGTTTTATATATATATATATATATATATATATATAGGAAAAGAGGAGCTCTTCAACTGTCAGTCTCAGTCTCGAGTGAAACTTGCACTCTCCCAACCCTGGAAGGCATGCTGCTTAAATATTTGGCTTTGATGAAATAAAAACTTGACGGGCTGAAGGCAGCTGGTACCCATCTTAGAGGAAGAAATCATAAGCTACCCTTGGTGGACTTCCAAGGGAGGATGAATCGGTTATTACTGTTATGGGCCTAATTATAGGGTAATTATAGATTCCTAATTATGTAGTCTCCTAATATAGATCTCTAAAATTGTGTGTGTGTGTGTGTGTGTGTTTTTTTTTTTATATTTATATATATTTATATATATATATATATATATATATATATTTTTTTTTTTTTTTATGTCCTTATTAAATATTATTACTTTTTTACCAATTTGTTAAAAAAACAACTTATGCTTTCTTTAAAAATGATGATAAATATGTTATTTTTGTTTGATAGAAATTTAAATATGAAATTAACATTAAACTAGGCAGGGACTATGTTTCTCATACACATCCTATACTCGCTTCGAGACAATAACTCTCCGTCTGTACCCACCCCATGTACCGGGTTAGGCGGGTAATCCCCGTCTCATTCGGGGTGAGGCCCCATGGATATTAGGTTAAACAGGTTTTTTTGCTATCGCTATTTGATTGTGGCTCGAAAAATGTTAGCCTA